AACTTTGTAGTCACCACATTTTTCGCATGTCTTCTCTGTGTACCTCCTTCCAGCCTTGGCAATCTGGAGGCTCTGTCACACAGGTTTTATGGTGCCGCTCGTGTCCAGGGGCAGCTGGAAGGACAGTCTGCTGCCTTTTGGCATGTTTGCTTAGCTTTGGAGTGCACCTTGCTGGTGTCTTCTCATCAATGTTGCTTTGTTGCAAGCTGAAACCAGCCATTATTTTTATTAGTGAAGAGGCTGGATGAGGACTCAGTATCATGGTGAGGCTGATTATCACCTCAGCTGTCCCAGTGGAGCCTGTGCAAATGTAATGCTGGTCATAATGCCTTGTTTTCTCTTTGAGGTCTGTGACTCCATCATTAGCTGAGATACATGTTTTAATTTGTTTTGTTTCTTCCTGGCAATTACGGCCGTAATAGCTTCTGCGTGCTTTTGCTCAGGCCTTGCTGACTGGCCAGTGTTGTTGGAAGGGATGAGCGCTGCCGTGGCCTGTCCTGTTGTCTGGGATCGGGGCTGGCACGTAGGCCGCGCGGCTGTCAGCGGTGCCGTTAGCGAGCATCGTCCCTCGCGGCTCGCGGCAGTGGGGAAGGGGCGTCCCTGTCGGTGGGACCGACGGAGCTCTTTGATGCTGTGAAACGTCAAGATGCTTTGTCTCTCTTTACTGTCAGTCAAACAGCTCATCGGTGGGACTAAGCTGGTGAACCAGAGTGCTTTTTTTCAGCTGTCTTTCATTTAGAAACAAGGAAAGGAGCATTCCGAGGGAGGATTATGGGGAAATGCTCCACTGCTGGCATGTGACTATGTCCTGCTCAGTCCCAGCCCAGCGTTCCCCTCCCTGCTGGGAAACCCTGAGAGGTTTTAGAAATGTTTGGAAATACAGATCCAAGAGTTCTCGTTTAAGTATAAGAAATCTGTGGTGATGAAAGGGAAGAGTCACAGGATTTCCTAAGCAGTTGTGTATAATTTTTAGTAATATTCCTAGAGTTTTGAAAATTTTCATGCTCTCTCTGGGACTTGTGTAGAAAACTGTAAGTTCTGTTGAGTGCTGTTTACCACACAAATAATTGTTGGGGTTTTTTTTGTTTGGTTGTTTTTTAAGATTGCAAAAGCTTCTGTGTTTTATTTTTCGGTTCTGACACCAGTTTCCTTTTAAATCCAGACAAGATCATGACACTAGATCCAGACAACCTCATGATTTTTTCCAGACAATTCTGTCGTTTCTAGACAATTAAGCTTCTGAGAAGTGAAGAATGTTTGATTTATTGATAAAACTTTGAGTCTGATGACACTTTCTGAGAAGGACATGAATTAACCCTACTCTCATCACCTGTTGACATGTGTACTCACTGTTCCTCTTCCTGCTGCACGCGTGGACATGGTGCAGTGTGTTGGGTCCGTCGCGGTGTGACATCTTCACTAGCCTGATGAGTGTAGGCATTTCCAGTGACTCCGTGCCTATTTCTTCAGGACATTAGAGAGCCTTAAAGTCAATAAGCACCTTCCAACTGACAGAGATTTAGTTTTTTGTGAAACAGGTGCTATTTTTAGCAGGGAACATGAATTTCCCTTGCAGTTTCCCTTTGCAGATTTTTAAACTGCAGGGTGCCTGCAGATGTGCTTGCTGCTGCACATCATCTTTGTGTCCTGCTGCACAGTGCAATGATGTGCAGTCTTCTGGTAAAGGCTGCAAAATACACTTACGAGGTGCCTGTTTCCCCCCCTTCTCATTATCCAGTGTGACAATGTTGGGCCATAGAAATCTGCCTTGAAGACACTGCTGTCTTCATGGGAAGCATTTGGTTCTTTCTTAGTTGAATTAAGTTGTCTTGGGCAACACAAAACTCCACTCAGCAGTGTGTTTCCACAGAGGACCTCCTAGCCATTCTCTGCAAGACCACCAGTAAGAGGACAGGTGGAAATCAGAATAGCTTCTCCTTTCACCACTGCAGTACTGGTACTCCTTATGTGGAGATGTGAATTGTTTCCAGCGTCCCTAAAACTTCCATGCATTTTCTTTACCTCTTTTGCCTTCTGCTGCTAACTGTTTTTAACTTGAGCTAAATCCCAAGTTCCTGTAGCTTTGCAGTCTCTTCTCAAGAGACAGCGCCTTGTCCTGGATGCCCACGAGGTGTGTTGTGTAAGCACATGCAGGAGATGTGGACATGGCAGTGTTTCACGCAGGCTGGAAGGGCTTCAGGGGATGAAGTTGCTAGAGGGGTTGGAGGTGCTGGAGGAGTTGGAGGGGCTGGAGAGGCTGGAGGAGCTGGTGTCCAAGTGAGCTGTGGCTGTCACCCAAATTTTTGTTGAGTGAGTGTGAAATGCAGTATCAAAGCCAGAAATCCTCAAAGCCAGAAGCAGTTTAAACCTGTCTGACGCTACATACCTTCACATGGTTGCCTGTACCATTGTCATTGCTGACAATTGTTTCCCGTATCTCCCCTGCTCTGGGAGGATGAGCTGCAGCGTTGCTCACTCGCGGGAAGCAGCTGCCCTGCTGTGATATGTGGCAGAGCAGTTGTGTGCAGGTTCTGAGGCCCATCTCATTTTTTCAAGGCGAAACTACAATGTATTGTGTTATTTGAGAAATAGCGTGTGGCTGTGGCAGTATAGAGGCGTGCCCAGGTACTAGTGGTCACCATTGCTGTGGTCAGCAGTGGCATGGGATTTGGTGACCTGTGGAGCAAAGCGGAGCCCTTTCTTTGCTTGTCCCTGGGTGCAGGTCAGCACTGGTCCAGGTCGGTGCCTGTCGGGTGCTGTCTGAAAGTAGGAATTTGGCTTAAGGTTTCTAGCTGGAATTTTTAAGACAGTTGTGAAGCTTCCTGGTGGGGCAAGAGGAGCTGATGTCTCCTACCAGGGTGTTGAGCCAGTGCACACTGGCAGTGCCCTACACCAGAGCTTTGCCAGGCCCATGAGCAGCTCTGCACACCCCTGCCCGTGCTGGCTGCACCCGCAGGAGAGGTGCCAGCTCTTCCTGTGGCTAGGCTGCTTCCAGCAGATGATGGGATCTGCTTGCAAGCTTTTCGATCTAGTGATCCCTGAATGGAGAAGGGAAGGTAACCCACCGTACCTGACCAAAACAGCAGGGCCAGATGGGCTTGCGGTGCTGTCCTGAGATAGCTGAGCTGCCAGGGAAGAGGCAGGAGGGGAAAACTTCAGCAGAGACAGTGTCCTCTGTGAAATGTCCCTCATGGAGGGGCTTCATGCTGGAGGCTGTGGTGGTGCCAGCAGTCAGCTTGGGGTAACGCTGGGGCCCATGGCTGCAGCGCGGGTGAGCCCAGCTGAATGTGGCTGCACCGGCACGTCCCCTGGCGCCACGGGTGCACCCAGGCGAGGGTGGCCACCAGTGCTTCTGTTGTCCAGCCATCCGGCTCTGAACTGAGCTTATGTTTTATAACTTCTGGTGCACGGTACTTCTGATGGGGAGCGTGAAGGAATGGGGAGGCGTTCTCAGCAGCTCCTGCTGTCCGTGGTTCGGACCATGTGGACAGTGGAGGCTGGCTCTGGCTGGAAACGCAGGTTCACTGGTGCATGGCTGCTGCCTGCAAAGCGATGGTGAAGTGAGAGCCCTGGTCTTTGACCTCCTGCAGATCAGATCGAAGCCTGATGGGAGCTGGAGGGAAGCTGGAAGAGAAGACGCCTGGTTCAGGATCTAGCTGAGGTGACAGCCAAACACACCGTAGGTACAGGGTCCTCAGCCTGCTTTGAAAACGACTTGGCAAGCTCTGGACAGAGTGATTTTTGTGGAGAAGGTGGGTGGAGAAAGCTCTTGCATTACATCCAGGACAGCCACTGAAGCTCCAAGCATGGGCAGACAGCAGCAGAGCCAGTGTGGGTTTGCAGAACAGCATTGTATCAGCTAAAGGCTTTGTCTGCATTGCTGGATCATGGTGGGGTTACACTGTGTCAGCGCTTTGCAGCATGTTGCTGTGTCCTTTTTGATCCTCTCTGAATAGCCCAAAGGCAGATTCTCTGCATGTAAGCACTACCTTTACGTCTGTCCATGCAGCTGTGCTACCCCTGCCCACAGCTTTGTTTTTGGATTTCCTGTGAATGTTAACTGATCAAAAAAAATACCCCAAACCCATACAGTTACATTTGTGAGTCTTCCATCCCCAGTTTCCGCTGGTTCCTCGATTAATACACAGGTACCCTCAGTGTCCAGTGAACCTTGCTGTTAGTGTGCCTGCCCAGCAGAAATTTTAGGTGAGCGTTACATACTGGCAGTGAGCTCTGACTCTTGCTGATGCTTCCCCTGAAAGGTTTAACTGCATCCAGAGTTGTTCTGCAGCACGTTCTGCAGTAGCTGTCTCGCTCTTGGCTTCCACTGTGCTTTTATCAGGCTACATTTCCTACTGCGATAACTTAATGAGCGCTTGTACTTTTTTATGCCTTTCTTTAGTGACTCTGTGATGAGTCTTGTCCCACAAATTGCTGTGGTTTTTGCGCACTGAAGGCTAGCAGGCTTTAGAGAGCCTCTATTCCTTTTTGCAGGGAGAATTGCTTTCATCTGAAGAGGACACTGGGATGGACGTAAGGGCTGTGCCCTGAAAAAAATAACACCTTTTTTTTTGTAATCCTGTAAGAGAGTAACATAGCCAAGATTTTCTGATGAGATACCCTGATAGTGCCTCCAGTGCTCTCTGCTGCTTACAGGATTTCTTGTGTTCAGGGCGTGCTCAGGGTGTTTCACGTCAGGATTTTTACCACTGTTTGTTAGGGATTTAGGAGAACTCTGTATGGTGCTTTCCAAATCACGCAGGTTTTCCTCATGTGAAATGCGTAGTTTATTTCCCTCTGAGCTGACACTCCTCCTTGCTCAGAGGAGCTTTCTGGGAATACTTAGCTGCTGTTTCCATGCAACTACCAGTTTTTCTTCACTGACATGCATTCAATATGAATTTTCTGATTGGAAGTGTGTATATAACCTTTCATTTGAGTATTTCTCATCAACAGCTAGATTTTGTTACCTTCTAACTCTCTTCTGCTTTTTTTTATAGATAAATTGTGTGACTTTCCCCCACCCTGATGTAATGCCAGAGCAGCAGTTGCTGAAACCTTCAGAGTGGAGCTACTGTGATTATTTCTGGGTAAGTAGGCAGCCAGCCACATGCCATATTGCAGCTCCTGAGCTTCCGAAAAAGTGGAGCAAACAGCTTGATTTGTGGTACAAGGTAAAAGGATGTACGTTAGGGCAGCATTAGGGAGACTGAGGACACCAGTGAGGTTCAAGTGGAAACCATCTAACTAGTCTCAGATGTGGACGATTATCAGAAGAGTGTTCAGAAAGGCAAGATCAGCTGTCAGGAGATGGTTTTGCTCAGGAAATGGGGAGGATGTAGGACAAACTACACATCTCAAAATACCTCAGCCAAAGGGCTGTGCTGCAGGAAGAGGGATAGCAAGGTGGCTGACAGGGAATATTATTTCAGTGTTTCCCAGGCTATGAGAGCTAGGGATGCACAAGGAAGCTGGGAGTATAACATTTAAAACAAGCAGACAGTTACAAACTTTGTGTTAAATTGTAAAACTCCCTCCCACGGGATATGCTGGAGGACAGATGATAAATGACATTTTTAAAGGATGAGACTTGTGAAGGACAGGCACATTAGTAGCTCTTAAATTGAGTACTTTTAATGCAGCCTTCAGCACGAGGAGTCTCCAGTGACTGCATTTCTGTGTGTACCCTCTCGTTTTTAGCTCCACTTTCAGGATACTGAATCAGATTAAAATGATACAGTAGTTCTTCAAGTGAGAAGCTGAGACAAAAAAATCTTGTACTGGAAAACTGATTTTTGGGGGTCAGGGGGAATACTACCTCAACAATGAAGATTTTATGAATTTCATGTGTGTTTTCAGTTATCACTTATTGAAGCATGTCCATTTAAAAAAAAAAAAGAGTTTAACTTGCAAAAACATGTAGCTGTTGGAGGCACAGCAGCACTTCCCCTCGTGTGTGCTCAGCGTTGATGTAAGGACTAGTGACAGTAACTTGCTAAAGCACACTGAAATACTTGCAAATGGTCACGTTACGAAACCATCAAAGTTTTTTCAGTTTCTTCCAGTTCCTCTGATCCCAATGAGCAATGCATCAGAAATGGTGCATAGACTTGTTTTTTGCAGATGTCTTTCAGAAGTCACTGCCCTGCTTGGTTCTTTCCATTTAGGCTCAGCCACTGCTTGGCTCCTTGGGTTTGGTCGCAGCTCACTCTCAGTGAATCTCCAGTTAAAGCTGCCTTACTTCTGCAAACTTTTATCCTCCCGTGGCTCTGCTTCCAGGACTTTCCTCTTGTTCAGCCTTGTAATCCATGGTCTGCCCATGTCTTGCCTCCTTCTTCCATCAACTGCACTCCTCCTTCCATCAACTGCACTCCTCCTGTTGTCTCCAGCTGGTGGTGCCCAGCTGCCTGGCATGGCATCCTACAAGTCTCTGTGCAAATGTGCAGCACCCAGGATATTGGAGCAAAACCTGTAGTCTTTAGGGAAGTGTTCTCCAGGCCTGTTTGTTGGAAGAGGATGGGAAACGAAATCCTGAAATAAGGGAAAAGAGAGAGAGAAGAGAAAGAAAAGAGACAGCAGAGAGAAGACTGTGTCGGTCCTTATAGCAACCCTGAAGTCAATGGAGCAAGGGGTGAAAAGGAACCAAGCAGTGAAAGATGGCTGTATGCGGTGAACTATTGAACAAGTTGCTGTTTTACTCTGCTTCACAGCAGATCTGTGCAGACTGGCTGTATTTTTCTGAGTGTGAATCAAGGTTCAACTTCACAGTCTGTCAAAGGTGGCTTAGGGCTGCCTCACCCCTGGAAAGAGCAGCGGGGCCCTCCCCTCTCCCGCAGCAGTTGCCCCGTGCTGGCTCCAGGATCCCTTCCTCTCCTTGCAGGGCTGAGCTGGCAGGGCTCGCGCCTGCCGCGGCCGGCCCGAGGGCGTTCCCATGGGCAGAAGGGAAGGCAAGACTGCTGCTTTGGCCCCAACATAGTCTTAGCTTAAAGATAACTGTAAAACTTCTCTCTTTTTTAATAAAAAAGGAGGAGTAATAGGAAGGGGAAATGGAAAGTGTTGGACTGTTCCTCTGAGAGGGGCTGAGGTGCTGCGGCCATCAGCTGTTACTAGAGGAGGGCTTTTCGTTCACCATCACTGCTCGTTCTTGGACTGCTTGGGCAGTTGCCACTGGGAACTGTGTGTCTGTGGTTTTGATCCCCATATCTTTTTCTTGAACTTCCTTTTTCCATCCAGGCTGATAAGAAGGATTCGCAAGGGAACAATACAGTGTCGGGATTTGAAATTCTTCTTCAAAAGCAACTTAAAGGGAAACAAATGCAGAAAGAAATGGCAGAGTTCATTCGAGAAAGGTAATTAGCACTTTGCTATCAAATTAACTGCTAACAGCAATATTTTTGTTTTCCTGATTTAGATATTCCTTCGGTACAATAGTGGCATAGCTTAAACCACGTAAAAGATATGCTGCCAGTTCTTAAAGAACATTTTGTATTTCTTTAATGTCCATCCAGTCTCCAGTCTTCCCCAGCTGTCACTCGTCTCTCCTGCTGTGTCTGTCTTAGTCGTGTTGCACACAGGCTGTTGGTTTAGATAGAGGGAACCAAGGAGGTTTCAAGCTGCAGATTAAAGGAAGAAACATGGATGTGGAAAAAACAGAGTAGAGATGATATTTAGAAAGGAAATATTTTGCCTGAAAAATAGAGAAGCAGTTTGTTGATATGGAGTGTCGGCCCAGTTTTCTAGGGGAAGATGTATAAAGACATCCCTTGGGACTTAAGCTGGTTATGGAGCTAAATTACACATTCAGATATTTAGAATGAACCCCAAGTTGTTAAGGCAGATGTCACTACCAGAAAATGCCAGAATGCTATTAATGGTCTGTTGCTCTGCTGACATGGGAAGTGCATTGAGGAACAAACAAGCAGTTGATAGATGCTCAGTTCAACGATGTGGTGATGTGATGTGAGACCATCAGGAGATGATGTGACATCGTTACTCATAAGTAGTGTCACTGTTATTTGAAATCACATATCATGTGTCCAAGCCGGTGTAAATCATCTTGAGGATGGCTCTCAAAACTTGAGAACAGCCCATAGGCAACAAGCAGTGCTTTCTCCCAGGAGGAAGGCAGAGCGTGCTGTTGGATGTTCTCTCCTGGAGACGATTGCACCAGTTGAAGTTGCTGCTGTCCTCTGTTGTTACCTCTGCGTTGGTGCTTGCTGCCGATTCGGTGTTGCCTTCCTGTTCCACTGCTGCGGACACAGCGTGGCTGTGCTGATGTAAATAAGTGGTGGTGGAAGCAACGAACGGCGCAACAAACAGGCACCTGTGTTGGCGTTTGGGGGGCAGTCTGATCAGGCAGAACTTGCAGATAGTTACTTTCATTTGTGGTTTGTTTTCTTTCTCCCTCTCGTCTTTTTTTTTTAGTAATAAGCATATGGCAACAGTGGAGAAATACAAAGTACAGCACAGGGAATAAGGAGGGTCTGATACAGGAGATGCAGAGTGCCCTGCTTCCACATGTGGTTCCTAATGCCTTTGACATAAGACAGTCCGAGAGACAGTTGCCTGTACGATCACTGAAAAACTGTGACCAGAGGATGCAGGTAGAAGAAAGGACCAGCTGGCAAAGGAAGGATACAATGGAGAAATAGTCTTGCAAATCTAGAAGATCAGGAGAAGGCAGGCAGAATTGTGATAGCCATGGCCAGAGAAAAGAGGAGGAAAGCTGCTCCAAAGAAAGTAAGATGTAATGAAATTTGACAGAAACAAAAGAAAGGAGCATTCAAGAGGGAGGGAAGGTTGGCATGAAACGAGAGCAAGCAAGGAGACAGTAGTTCTGAGAGTGGGAAGAGGTTTGTTCGTGTCCTCAGTAGAGGAAGAAGTAGGCATGTTGGAGAAGAAAAGAGAAAAGATTCACTGTGTGCTGGAAACAAAAAAGATTTGGAATTGAGTGTGAAGAGGATCTAGATGGGAGTTATAAAAAGATGAATATATTTTTCTGCTGTTTGGAACAAATTATTCAGGATTGCTCTGTGTGGAAAAGGAGGAGGATGGTGTTGAGCTGGAGAGGTTACTCATGGAAATGCGAGCTCAGGCCATCAGGGAAACCTTCACATCCCCAGCTAAGAGGAAAAAAATACTAATAAGACTTTCTTGATCACTATCAGGTGGCTTGGGGAATACAAGACCATGTTTAACTAGGGGTTACCACCAGCCTTCTGGAGGTCAGGTTCAGGCAGGTAATAAAAACAGCTTTAAATAGGAAGGTGGGATAAGATACGATAACCAGATTTCTTCATGAAATAACCAACAACTAACTGAAATTTAGCTTATCAAGTAGATGCTTTCAGAGGAGCTACTTGTAAATAGCAATCTTAAACTGAGCAGTTATGCGTTAATTGGGTTCTTGTTGACAAAAGTAGGGTTATAATACAGACTTTGACTTTTAATAAGACAGACCTCAAGAAAGAGAGGGAAATAATTAGTGAATTGACTCGACTGAAAAATCAATGACGTGGGTGTGAAAGAAGGAAAGAATAACTCTAAGTCAAACATGAAGATGTGGTCCAGCATTTGCGTTCAAGTAGGCACTCCAAAACAGCCAAGAAAATCTGCAGACTGCCCTGAAAAGCATCAGTCTCCTCAAGTATATTAAGTAGGGTTTTTATTAGCAAAGGAATACTGTCTTAGGCTTTTAGCCACTCACTTTTTAATTGAGCTGGACTATGCTTAAAAAATTAAAAATAAATAGCAGATTATTCAGCTGCATGAAAAGAAATATAAGCAGGAGAATGGCTGTAGTGAGTCTGATGAAGGTCTGTCTGGCCCGCTGATTTCAATTTGACTGTGGCAGTGCTGAGAGCCTAAGAGGAAAACACCATGAGAGTCTCTGTCCTCCCAGCTTCCAATAACCAGGAGTTTGGGGATTTCTAGAGCCAGAGTTTGCCTTAGGTCTGCTATGTCAGCAGATACTTGTAAACATCTTCTGCTGTTTCATAGAATCATAGAATCATAGAATGGTTTGGGTTGGAAGGGACCTCAAAGATCATCTAGTTCCAACCCCCCTGCCATGGGCAGGGACACCCTATTCTAATCCTTTTGAGTCTTTTTATATTTTTTACCACTGCAACAGTTTGTAGCAGACTTCTGCCATTTATGCATTGCAGGAAAAGTAATTATGCTTCTGTTGTCTGATAATTTCATTGTTGCCTCCTAATCTGGAGAAATAGTGGAAAAAGACACAGTCACTTGCAGTGGCAGTGGTGTAGTTGTCTGTCACATATCCTCTATCACCTTTTCTCTGTGTTCCCTGTGTTATCTTAATCTATTTAGATTATTCTTGCATGGTAGTCATATCAGATCATCTTTGCCTCTTTTTGTATGGATCAAAATTACTTATAATCTGCAATGCTTCCAACTACACAAAGAGTAACATTCTGAAAGTCTTCAAACAAGTTAGTGGAAACAAGAAACTTGGAGTTTTTTAGGTGTGGAACTGGAGTAACTGCAAAACAGCCCTGGGCATTTCTGGAGGTAGGCTCACAAGGCTCAGGAGTCCCTGTGTACTGCTGTGGTGGTGTTTCACAGGCACCGCAATGCGGAGTTTGCAGGGTGTTTGTATCGGCCAGGGCCAGCAGGTGTACGTTTTTCCCTTTTTGAGGTATATCGTCATCTTGGTTTTTAGCCTCTTTTGAAGTGTTCAAGGTCTTTTGGCCACAGATGATGACAGGATGTTGGGCCGGAGTGGAACAATTAATGTCCTATAATTTGGGCTCTTAAGCAATAACTAATTCACCTTTTTATCGTTATTTTTTATTTATTCCTCTTTGCCAAAGCAGTCTGCCCTGTTAGTGGTGCCATCTGCCTGCAGTTCAAGTATTACTTGAAATCCCAGAGCCTGGGCCAAAGCTGGGACCAGTGACAACCGCTTCCATGAAAGCCAGTGGCTTTGCATTTAGGGTGCCATGCTTAGGACAGGCACTGATGGCAACAGACATAGTGTGTCTTATGTGTGATTGTGAAAATCATGAGGCTTTTCTTTGTCTTGTTGTGTTCAATACTTCCCCAGCTAGAGCAGTATCAAGGAAGAACTTCACAGGGTTTTCAATTCATTGTTTTCACAGCAAACCTTCATGATGTAAGACAATTATTCCTCTGTTCATGACATGAAGGCCTGAGACACAGATTCTGTGTGGGTCTGTCTGTATGGGTAGCTCAGGACAGTCAGCAGACCAGCTAGCACCTTTGCACACCTATCATCCTCAAGTAAATCACTCAAAGGCATCCTTAAGCCAAAATCCAGCAAGAATAAAGTTGCATACCAGAGCTTTGGTTGGGAACTCCTGATAACTGAGGCAAAAGCAGTGAGCACTGGCTTTGGACTAGACACTTAGGTATTTGTCTTAGCTACATCTAGATGTGTGCATCTTCATTATAGTTGACCTATAGTCCCTTTCCAGTCCATAGAAATTGTCACTTCTGAGACAATATTAGTCTCATCCTAAAGTAGGTATTAAAGTAGGAAAGTAGGTCGGGTGAAATGTGCCTGGATAAAGCCCTTTTCCCTGACCGCAGTGTAGCCTTTGGTGCAGGACCACTGTATTTGTTGCTCTTGCTGAAGCAGAGGTGGGGAGCTGGCTGGTTTTGTTCTCATGGGAAGGGGAAGAAGAGGACCCCCACATACTGGATGAGGTCTGTAGTACCGTGCCGTACCGAGCTGGGTATGACCTTGGGCCTCAGCGAGCTGCATCCCACAGAGTGGGATCCAGATTGTATTTTCAGCAGCCCAGAATGTCAGACCCCTCTCAGCTGGCTCAAGGGACCCCTTTTGTCTCGAATGTGCCACGGTGTAACAGTGCTTGCTCAACTAGCTACTGCAAGCAGGCGTGCCAAAAGCGTCCCACCTCCTGTCTGCTCACCGGCAGGAGGTGGATTTCAAACCAGACTTTTTCCCTGCTTGTGTGTTGCTTGCACAGAATCAGGAGTTGCTCCACCTGGGTGCCACTCAGCTGTCTCTTGAAGATGCTCTATTGAGCACGCTGGTTTGAAAAACAGCAAATAGCCATTTTTTTGCCCTAGTTGGGATCATGTGTACCTTGCAAATGTTTCACTAAGAGAAGAGCTTAGGGTAGTCAGAGGTAGGTTTCAGGCATGATGCATGTCACTTCCGAACCAGCGGCCGCTCCTTCCCTCCCTGCTGTACAATCAGCATTTACCCTTGTCCCCTCACTCAGCTTGTTCTTCTCCCTGTAGTCATTCCCATAGTAGTTGTGTGCCCACAGCTTCCCTCTTCTGCACCCCCACTGCTTGCAAGCTCAAGTCCTGTTCGTGGTGGGGTGCTGCTGAGCGAATGGAGAGGACAAGGTGGTGGGTGGGATAGGTGAAGGTCAGGGGCTGCAACACCACATGTCAGTGGCAGAAGCCTCTGCCATATCTTCACCGGCTTTGTTGTCTGTAACAGGGAGCAGAAAGCATTTGCTGTCCCTAGGAAAGGCGCAGTCCAGCTCCCCAAAGCTCGTTTGGATTTCTCCTGTATATCACTGCATTCCTTCATCTTCACTTCTAGGATGTGCGATCTCACATTTAGCAGCAGACTGAAACACATGCCTCTCAAGTGAGCCCAGTTTTGCAGATAGTCCACATTGCGCAGTAGAAACACTTTGTCCTTGTCATATGCTCTTCAGAACTGTAGCTTTTTCTTATAATTTTATCGCACATGCTGTCCTGCATATATCCCTGCTCTTGCCATTGCATTTTTAGCATATGGAGGGGAGAGATGAGATGGATTCTGAAACCGGTGCTGCCCAGCCCTGGAGACGGAAAGGAAAATTCCTGTGGCAAGATCTGTTAAAATGCAGAGAATTTCTTTATGTTATGTGTGTGGGTTTCTGCCTTAAAGCTTACTTACTTCTGTATTTTTATTTTCTCTCTGTGCATATGTGTGTGAGTGTAGGATAAAGATTGAGGAGGAATATGCTAAGAACCTGTCCAAACTGTCTCAGAATTCCTTGGCTGCTCAGGAAGAAGGGTAAGTGTGTCTCTGTGACTTTTGCAGAAGACAAGAATTTTAACACAAAAAGCGTTCCTCCCACACAGGTACATGTATTTTTCCTGAGCTCTTCCATTGAGTGGAGGTTTATCTAGCTTGGCGTCCCGGGTGTGTTGAGGAAGGTAAAATTGCTTTGGAATATTTTTCTATAGAAGATATTCATGGTAAATTTTTTAGGAATATCTGTAGAAAACCTTGCATTTCCAATAATGTGTTTACGCTATCCTTGTTCTAGTCAGCACTAGTTCCTTTAGGAATTAGCATGTATAAGTACTAAATTATTTTGAATATGGAAGAATATATGGAATATATATATACTGCTGGTAATAGTAATCCATAAGAACAGGGCAGTAGAATTGGAGGAGCACAGAAAGAGGGAGGAAGAAGTTGTCCCTTCTCATCTTAGATCTAGCCCTCCAAGAAAAGCGGCAGGTTGTACCTTATTTACAGCATGTTCACACTTTGGAAGTTATTAAGAAGGTATTAGACAATGCACTTCATGCTAGATAGTAATTCTTCAGTAATAGTGAAAAGACCCCTCTCCTGAAGGATGAGAAGTTAGCTCTATCTGTTCCAACACAAACCGTCCAAGCACTGAATGCCACGGCTGGAAATGGCTGTCCTCACCCGAGTTCTGACACAGTGTGTTTCCACGGGTGGTGAAGCTCCACGAGGTGTTTGCCAGTGGGCAAGGTCAGAAACTGCAGAAGACAAATTAGGCTGTTACTTCTCTAAGCACCTACATTGACAAGGATTTCTGTTCTTCTCTCTCCTTTAGAGGCGGGTGTTAACCTGCTCCTAGCAAAGCTGAAACTGCGTTCTTCCACGTTCTTCTCCCGCTTTCTCCTGAAAAAATGGAGGGGAAGGAAACTAGGGGAGAGTAGATGGAAAGAGAGGGAATGAGAACCAAAGCATAAAAAATGTTGAAGTAGGGAACTGAAGGGGACACGGAGCAGAGTGTGGGGAGCTCGGAACACTGCCCAGTGGTGCTCTGCCTGGAGAGGTGGCAAGGTGAGGGAACGGATGGTGCTGTGGTGGCCAAATTGGCTAGAACCAGGAAGAGGTTAGTGAGAAGATCCTGGTTATTGGTGAGGCCCAGGAAAGGGAAAATTTCCATTTAAAAAAGTGAGGGAGGAAGAGCAGCCAATGGGAGGATTTGAAGGAGCCAAAAGTGGGACTGCAGCCTAGCGTACCCAAAGGAAACATTCGCTGGGGTCTTCCTTCCATTTCTGAGAAGGTGTGAGTCAGGGGACAGCATGAGCTGCTCAGTTGCCACTGCTGGTCTCATACTCCAGAGAGCATTATTTTGAAACTGCAGATGACAGGCAATTTGGACAAGAGAAACGTGGCCTAAATAAAGCACAGGGTGTAAAACTAGGTGAGAAGACCTGCTACTTAGAAAACGTAGAGTGCAGAAAGTCGCTACGTAGTGAGGTAAGGTTCATCCCAAGTCCAGAGTTTTTCCAAGGTTTTTGTTAATGACTGATGATAAGTAATGGGTTTACTGTAATCAGAGATGAGACAAAGCTAGGAGGGATGGTGTGTGTGTACAGTTTGAAGAAAAGATTGCAATTCAGAATTATTTTGTTAAACTGGAGGAGAAAAGTGAAAAAAAATAAGATGCATTTCAGTGGGGACAAAGTGCCAGGTTTTATACTTTCACAGGATGTGAAAGATACAGTTATGTAACAGTTTGTGGGAGAAGGATCTGGCTGTAGTGAATCACAAGCTTATTCATCAACAACTTCATGCTGTTGCCTAAAAAAGCAATCACGCTGAGATATGTAGAAGAAAGAGCGTCTGATACGAAATAGCAACTGGAAGACCTCTGCTGGAACACGGTGTAGTTTTGGTGATGACACATTACAAGGAATGGAGGCTGTTGCAGAGGGTCTAGAGGAGCATACCTAAACTGCTGTCTTCTAGAAAATAATTTGTCTGAACAGAAAAAGAAGGTGGAGGAAAGACCTGGTAATTTTTCAATACTGAAAGGCTTCTCTGAGGAGAAGTAGAATAATCTGTTCACCAAAGGTAGGGCATAAAGTAGAAGAGGCAATGGGAAAACTGCATTGGTGAAGATTTATTTTAAGGATTAGAAAAGAAAAACTTTGTTATAGTAAGGTTAAGATACTGAAGTATCTTGCTTAGGGAGATTGTGGCATCTCCAACCGGCGATCATCATGAACAGTGTTTTCAAAGATCTGCCAGGTACAATGCCAATGTAGCACTGCCTTGGTCACGGAGATCCGATATCTTAGATTTCTGCTGTCACACTTGGGTGATTTTGCTGAGCATCCATCTGACAGATCTTGCTGGGAGGATATGCAGAAGACAGAGCATTGATTGTTGTTGCTCTGTGTTCTTTCAGCACACTAGGAGAGGCTTGGGCTCAACTAAAGAAGAGTCTAGCTGATGAAGCAGAGGTTCATCTCAAATTTTCTTCTAAGGTAAATAGTTCTTCCTTTTGCAGAGATTTTTGCCCTGTAATTGGTGTGGATCTTCCTTTGGTGCTTGTTAGTGGGGAAAATACGCGTATGCATATGGTACAAATTTAGAAGAATTAAGAAGCTGGTGAACAAACTTTTTGAAACTCAGTCCATTCTTCCTGCCAAAATTGTAGTTTATTTAATCTACTTGATGAGTAAGTTAAAACACATCTAGCCTTGATTTTTCATAAAAAAGAAGGAAAACTGGTTCTAAAGGTTATTCACCTAGGGCTCAAAGTTCCAGCCTGTTCAAGAAAATTTATTTAGAGCTTGTACAGATTACTTTGGAAGAAGAATAAATAAAAAATATTATTTGGCTTCTCCACAATCTACCATGTCTGTCTGGAAGGAAGAGAACCAGGAGTCTGACTTCTTTGTATCGTTAGGCTTCCTGAAAAGTGCACTGGGAACTTACTTCATGTTATTTTTGGATCTTCTCTCAAGTGATGCCCAAGGAGATTTCTTGTACAAATTATGGTATTTATCTGTTTTTTTTTCCACTACATGTGATAGACTCTTGTGTCCTGTTGCATTGTGTTAACCTCTGTGGGTGATCAAGTTCAGTACAGTGACAGATGCCTCAGCACAACAGCCATGTTCTGGAGGAAAATTACAGCTCTGCGCTGTTCGTAAGCGATTATGCAGAGGTTACTCAGGCAACCAGCCACTGCCTTGGTAACCTGCTGCTCTGCTTCCAACTTCTACTTCAGGGCTGTAATTAGTGAACTACTTTTTGCTCCCCGTTGTCCTCTTGTATTGTTTTCCAAGAGGAAGAAATGTACCCTGGAGTGTTGTGTGCGTGCAGGCAGGCAGTGTATAAGGGCTCTTTCATTATTTTACTTTTCCTTAAACCTTGCACAGAAACTCCTGTGGCATCCTCTGAACTCTCCCCACTGTTCCCATAGCTGCTTTGGGAGTTCCTAGTTCTGGCTTTCTTGTATTAACAGAGTATGTTTTTAAACATACTGATTATTGCTATTACTTTCAAAGAAGTTATTCTTAGAAGTAGTAATTATATTTCTCGATGATAGTCAAACAAAACCAGTCAATGCTGGCACAAAGCAGTCAGTAGAGTGCAGAGCACACCCAGAATAGTCAAACATAAACACCAGCCATGAAGACAGTGAAGAAATTCTGTGACAGTCCTTCATGACACTGTTATGTTGGGGATCATGAACAGATTGGAGACGGTGACAGCACTCTTGTGGCACTTGGAACATGAAATATTATTACACTACTAATGCCTGTACAGGCTGGCATGGCACCTGTATATACATGCATACAAGGAATCCTTCAAGAAGGCCGTCAATGACACTGAACCTCTTCTCCAGCTATCTGATTATTCCTCACTGAGCTCCAGGAGGTCAGTTCTGCTGGAAGAGAAGATGCACACATGTTGTACTAGTTGAAGTTCTGGTGGGCTGGCCTGGATGTAATAGTATGTTACCAGCCATTCTGGAAATTGTGCTGGTGGAGCGAAGTTAAAAATAAGTACTTGTGAAGTCTGAGAAATTTTCGAAATGTAGTCTCTGATAACTCAGCTGCGTAGTTTCTCCAGCATCTAATGCTTCTGTCTTTCTACTTAAGTCTCTGCCATTACCGGTACAGAGATACAGGGTCTCTGTCCTATACCTGATAACTTTTTTTAGCAAACTTCTTGAGATTTCAAGTCCTTTGTCACATCTCACTAATTCAGTGATAGGTAAGTGTCAGAGTTGTCTGTATACACTGGTGCTTTAAATCTCTCAATCTTAGGAAAGTAGTTTATGTTTCTTCCATCTGTTGCATGCATTTGAAAGTCTTCATAGAATCGTAGAATCACAGAATGGTTTGGGTTGGAAGGGACCTCAAAGATCATCTAGTTCCAACCCCCCTGCCATGGGCAGGGACACCCTCCACTACACCAGGTTGCCCAAAGCCTCATCCAACCTGGCCTGGAACACTTCCAGGGATGGGGCAGCCACAGCTTCTCTGGGCAACTTGTGCCAGTGCCTCACCACCCTCAGAGTGAAAAATTTCTTCCTTATATCTAATCTAAATCTGTCCTCTTTCAATTTAAAGCCATTGCCCCTTCTAGCAAGATCTTCTAGGAAAAAAATAAAAGAATAATAAATATGGCCCACTATAATGCAACATTTAAAAGCCTGGGTCATTCACATGTAAGTCTGTTTTGATAGGTTATGGTACCACTTGCAAGGTGGAAGTTAAAGCACAATAATGGTGCTAGAGGAAAGATGACTGCCTTACTGAGAAGTCTGCTTCTTTGATTCCCAGAACACAAAACTGGAGAAAGCAGTTGCCTTGTTTGCATTTCAAGCCTCCTGGTGATGCGTTTCCCATCTTTATGAGGATCTAAGAATTTCCTGTCTCATTATAAACTATGTGAAATGAACAAATACCTTCAGTTTCTATTAGACAAGTAGAACTACCAGTGAAATGTCCCCCTGTTTGATGTGTCCCTGGCCCTGGGGATTTTTATAAGGTTTTAACAGCAATGCCTACTTACGTCATGTGAATCAGGCTGCCACTTCTTCCACTGAGGATGATTGACTCCTGTTGGGTTGTTTACCCAAGTTAATCATTTATTGCTGGAGCAGTCTGAAGGGCGTTCAGACTGTTCAGCTATTTCAAACTCAGTTGGACACAGACATCTCTGTCAATTATAAGATACTGCATCTGGAGTTCACTGAAGCCATCCTGAACTTCTCTTTGTTCCAGTTCTTGTTTCATTGAGCATTGACTATGCTCCTGGCACAGCTGTTGGTTTGTTCCTCTGTTCTTGAGAGAGCTCATGCTACCGTGCTGGACCACACAGTTGTGAACAGGTCTTTATTAGCTTGCCTGGGGTCATCCTGATGAGACTGTCATAAAAATATTGTCCATAATTTTATAATCCACCCCCCCCCCCCGCCCCCGCAGTCAGAGCAGGACTATCACCCTCAGTGGATCAAGTCAGCTACATCTTTGTCTAGCAGAGTCTTGAATATCTCTAAGGACAGAGATTTTACAACTTCTCTGGTCAACCTCTTCCAGTGCCAAGCTACCATTCTGGCAATTTTTTTTTTTTTTTGAAAATTACATTCAACCTGAACCTCCCAAAGCTCAATTGTCTGTTGTGACATTGCCTGGCCCTACAAAAAAGAATTGGCTCTGTTACCTTTGCATCTGACCTTCAGATAGCTGTAGGCCGTATTAGATCACCATCGTGCCAGTCTTCATCTGCTTCATCTAAACAAGCAGAGCTTGTTTAGACTTGTTTAACCTCTCTAGGATGTGTGCTATAAGGCCTTGACAGTCTTTGTAGCCTCTCTGCACTAAAAGACTGTACTGAGCTTGAATGAAGTTTCCTTCTCCATTAAGATACCACTGAAGAAAGGCTAAAAATATTTGCTTTCAGGAACTATTTGATACTGCTCCACTGTGGGCCATGTTAGGTGATTACAGACACAACTCACCTGTGTTGATGGAGTCCAGCATCCCCACAGGAGGGACAATAGAAAAGAAGTTTTTATTTGCTTCTGGGGAGGTGGAATATCTGTATCCCTTTAGAGCACATTTCCTAGATGTCAAAACTGTATTGGAAGACCAAAGAGCAATATGGTACAAACTCTATCAGAGTTGAGTATTACCAGAGCTGTCAAGTGCTGCTTGAAAGAGATAAGTCACATGTGCGGTCTTGATGGGTCTCCCTTGAGTTCATTTCAGTGGTTTCATGCTCTACTTAAGGAGTATCAACTAAATACTCAGGGTTCTCTTTAAGCTCCCTTATACATGACAGAAATAAATAAAATGTGCCCTTATTGGATCTCTTTCCAGTATACAAGAAATGCAGATGTGTCGCTGTGGTCCACTGACTCACCGTACTGCAGTCAGGGTTGGCAGCTTCAGTTTGTGTCCTTTGTGGGCTTTTTTAAGCAAGTTGCATCAGTTAGGCCAAAATCAGAGCCTGCAGTTTGATCTTATGTGTAAGAAGACAAATTTGATTTTATGGGGAGAAAGACAAGATTTCTGTCCTTTTGCTCCCTTCAGTAAATACTCCCTTAACAGAGCTGTCGTGCTTCACTCAGCTCTCTTGAGAAGTGTCGCTGTGTGAAATTGCCTTTGGCCGTGGTGAGTGTTTCGTTTCCTCTCTGTCCTGCGCTCTGCTCAGCAGCAGAGCCAGGAGTTACTGCCTGGCTCCTCATTATTGCCATTTCTTCCTTTGTTTTCATTACCAGCTTCAAAGCGAGGTAGAGAAACCCCTGCTCAACTTCAGAGAGAACTTTAAGAAAGACATGAAGAAGTGTGACCACCATATTGCAGACTTACGGAAGCATCTGGCCAGCCGCTACACAGCAGTTGAAAAGGTGGGGGCAGAGAACAAACTGGAGAGTTTATGAGATGCTGCTGGTTTGGACAGAAAAGCAGCTGTCCTGTGAAAAGTTTCTGTTCTGCCGCAAAGAATCACAAAGGTTTCTGCTGAGCTCTTTCTGCTGTCGGTTAAGCTTTGCTGGGCCCCAGACAGTGTTTACTGCTTAGCTGAGGTTTGGGAAACCAGGGGCTGCAGGCAGGGCTTGCATGTTACTGGTGAACTGTCTTTTTGTTTCATCCTCCCCTTCCCAATTTGGGACAATATATTTCTAATACATTTGATGAAGGTATTCCTTGCTTGTGTGCATCTGGAAGTCACCTCTATGGATCTCAATATTTAAAAAACCTTGCCTTAAAATAGCAGCAGGGTCAGGCCGAAGGCTCACGTGGCTCCATATCCTCTCATGCGGTGGCCAAAAGTGGATGGCCAAGGAAGGCAGCCAAGCCTGCCATGGCAAATCACAAACCATCTCCCAGTTTGCGTTTTCTGTGCCTCACAGCAAACATCCTCACCTGAAAAACCCAAACAGAAGCTGCACCCTAGTATCAGGGACTGTTTTAACATGAACACCCAGTAGGTAGCTGAGGTGGTGATTTAGGGAGAGTTATACCCACAAAAAGTGCCGTCTTATTAGCAGCTGGCAAGGAACAGGATACCCATGCCTCAGCTGCCAAGACACTTGTGCCAAATGGTATCCTCACTCAGTTTGCTCTTGGGTGTAAGTTGGAAAGGAAAGTATCAGGCTCAGTCAACCCAGAAGGGCTTTCATTAAAGATAAGAATGCACATGAGTAAGTTCCTACCCGGGGCCAGAATTGTTGCAGAATACACAAGGTAGGTATGTATGCAGGGAAGACATTTTTCTGCAAAACAGTAAGTTCTTCAGTCATATCTGCAAAGAAACACAGTCTTCAGTAGGGATAGTGAATGAATTAGAACAGCCTTGAGAAGAAGGAATAAAAAAAAAGAGAAAAGCCGTGTCTGCAGTGTGCCTGATGAAGCACACAGCTTCTCACTAGATTGCTTTCTTGCAGCTCCCTCTTGCGACTGCCGAGCCAAGCACAGGGTCTTTAAAACTGCAAATTGAAAAAATTCAAGTAATGCCTCAAGAACGTTGTAACTTGCAGGCTGATGTGACTGTAGAAAACTGTAAGGTGCTAACAAAATACAATCATCCAAATTTAATTCTAAACACTATCACTAGATAAAGAACAAATGTGACCTATTTTATAACAAGTCCATGCAAAACAATGGACTTTTGTCTACCCAAATACTTTTGGGTATTTAGGCAACCTCAGCAAATGACGTGACAGCATGCAGATGTGGTAATGATGTTTATTTGTTACTGCACTAATTTGTCTGTTTAAGTTCAGTAACAATACTGATAAATTGAGTTTAAAAGCCTGAAGAACTTCAAAGTGTTTAAATAATCAGTTGTAACTAGGTCTCAGGTTCTTGATTTCTACAGTACAAACTGCTGTTTTCAGGAACCTGGATTAGTTTTTCTGAAACCAGTCTAAAAGTTCCTATTGATAGAGTTTCTGTTAAGTGTATATTGAATACAGAAGGTGCTTAAGTAAATTTTGTAAGATACTTGAAATTCTTACAATGATTTAGATCCTAAGAAAAGCAAATGGAAGAGGTGTCTTGCGATGCTGGTTAAGACATTTGGAAGAAGCTTCAGCTCCTCTTTCTTCCGGAAATAGTGAGAAAGTTACTAAGAAACACGAAAGTCTGATGATGCCTTTTGTACTGTGCCTTTTTAAGAACCTATGAAGAGTTCAGATGCTTTTGTGATTTGCTGGTGACAGCTTCTATATGGTGGTAGGACACTTCTCTGAACACACATGGTGTCCTAAGAACTTGTATCCCAGTTGGGACCCAGTTTTACGCAGAGTCTCTTGGCTTCTTACTGACAAATGCTTGTGTGAAGGAGTCATAAATGGCTGAAAGCCGCTGGCAGCGCTTTTCCTCTTAAACATGTGACTCTTCTTTAATTACTCCAAGGCCCGGAAAGCCTTGACAGAGAGACAGAAGGATCTGGAAATGAAAACACAGCAGCTAGAGGTGAAGCTCAGCAACAAGACAGAAGAGGAGATTAAGAAGGCGAGACGGAAGTCCACGCAGGCGGGTGAGTACCGGTGCCTGTCGGCGGTCAGAGCCGAGCGCAGCCCCACGGACGGCACCAGCAAAGCGGGATGCAGCTGTCCATGCCCCGCTGGGTTTCTTGGTTTTTAACCTTGTAGCTACAAAGTCAAAGTGAACTGTGCTACAAACCTGTTCGGTGTTAAATCCTCTGAAGAAACAGGCCCAGTTTTTCCAAGTCAGATGTTACAAAATGATGAATTTGATAATTGGGATGAGAACAGTAAAAGGAGAGTGAATTGTCCTTTTGTTTAGGGAAAGTGTGCTGAGATAGTGGAATGTTTGTGAAACTTTCACAAAGTCAGATTCAGAGAAGCTCAGCTGAGGATGTTTCTTCCTTAAATCATAGTTTCTTCCTTGGTTCTTTCCTAAATCACAGTCACTCGCAACTATGTGGATGCCTGCTGTGCTTCCTGTTACTCTCTTTTTCCTTGAAAGTGAACTTTTTTTTTCCCCCCACTGCTGCTCTGTGATTAAAATGAGTTCTGTTCAAGGGATACTGAGCATACAGTAGTGTGTGCTATACGGTACTGAGGACACAGTGACCTGTGTGACCTGTGCATGTTTTACAGAGGCTCAGACCACTTCTACAAGATCCATCAGGAACTGTCTGTCTGGAGATCTGCAAAGCTGATATGTACGACTCTCTTAGTATCATTGTGGAAAATGTTTTAACTAAGGTTTCCATGTTTCATTCATTCATAGGTCCATTCCTTGGCCAAGTGGTCCTTCATAGTTCCAAGGCTTTTAAAACTTCGGAATAGCTTGTCTGGGTTTTGAGGAGACTGTGGAGAGTCATTCATATTGTGACCATGTGTATAGGCAACCATTTGAGGAGAAACAAAATCTATGTGTTAGCAACAGGAGGCTCTGTGAGAGATGCCCTTTATCTGTCTCCAAATTCACAGCCTCTCTGTGTTCTCTTGGGTCCTCAGAATTTGTTCCTGATAGGTATTTATTGAACAAGCAAGGGAGAGCTGAAGAGCAGATGGGAGTAACCCAGAGTTTCATAGAATCATGTGAATCACAGAATGGTTTGGGTTGGAAGGGACCTCAAAGATCATTTAGTTCCAACCCCCCTGCCATGGGCAGAGACACCTTCCACACTACATCAAGGTACTCAAAGCCTCATCCAACCTGGCCTTGAACACTTCCAGGGATGGAGCAGCCACAACTTCTCTGGGCAACCTGTTTTTCACCAGAGTTTCACCACCATCATTCTTCCTCAGATCTGATCTAAATTTACCATCTTTCAGTTTAAAGCCATTGCCCATTGTCCTGTCACTACAGAACCTTATCAAAAGTTCCTCCCCAGCTTTCTTGTAGACCTCCTTTAGGCACTGGAGCCTTCTCCAGGCTGAACAGCCCCAACTCTCTCAGCCTGTCTTCATAGCAGAGGTGCTCCAGCCTTCTCATCTTTGTGGCCTCCTCTGGACCCGTTCTAACAGCTCCATGTTATTTTTATGTTCAGGGCCCCAGAGCTGAACACAGTACTCCAGGTGAGGTCTCACAAGAGCAGAGTAGAGGGGCAGAATCACTTCAACCTGCTGGCCACACTTCTTTTGATGCAGCCCAGGATACAGTTGGCTTTCTGGGCTGCCAGTGCACATTCCTGGGTCATATCGAGCTTCTCATCAACCAACACCCCCCAGTCTTTCTCTTCGGGACTGCTCTCAACCCATTCTTCAGCCAGCCTGTATTTGTGCTTGGGATTGCCCTGACCCATTTACAAGCCCTTGCACTTGGCTTTGTTAAACTTCATGAGGTTCGCAGAGGCTCACCTCTCAAGTTTGGTGTGAGTCCCCAGTGCCATTGCCACCTTGTGCCACTGTTACAGTGTGTGGCAGGGGAGGACTTGCCCCATTTCTGCAGGTAATGCTGCCCAGCAGCCCAGCCGGAGTGCTTGCGATGCGCACAGGAGCAGCATGCTAGTTTTGAAGCATCTAGCTTTGAAGTGGGGCCTGCTACAAGTGGACAATAGGACTAGAGAGCTCTAGAACCAGAGCTCTTCTACAGTCCCATCAGTTACTGATACCTGGCGTTGCTTTCTACTCTCATGGATTGTTCATGTGTTTCATGGCTTTCACGTTGCTGGCCGTACAGTGGCTCAGATTCAGTCGGGTGGGTGGAGGATAACCCCGAGTCAGGTAGCTCCTGAGGAGCCTCCTGGAGTGTGGGAGCCATTAGTTCAGACTTGTCATGTCAAACTAGCCATCCCCCATCTGGGTAGATAAGCTTATTGCTGAGCTTTGAGCCCTGAATCCTGGTTTCTTCCTAGAGTCTGGTTGCCACCCCAAGTTATGAGTCCATGAGAGACTTCCAGATGCGTTTACTTCTTTGACACTTGTTTGATCTGTGGACTCTTTTTCTTGAAGCTTGATTTGCCCCTGGTTTTTGCACCTAAAAGAAAAGGGTGAATTTGAGCCCTGGACCTAGGCATCAAACCGTTAGGGAAAGCTTAACTGAGCCTCATTTAAAGTAAAAGAGAGTTTACTAGTTGGAAAGCAATAATCCCTGAGACATGCCTTCCAGATTTTCCAGTCACCTTTCCCCTCTGTCAGAGCAGAGTCCTGCAAGAAAGAAACAGTTGAAACACTCACAGTTTGTTGTGTTACTGTCCTGAACATGGGAGGAAGCCAGAGCTTGACTGGAGTTGTGCATCTTCGAGGCTGGAGAATGCACGA